TATTGGTTTATTTGTCTTTTGGACTTGTATTAAGAAAAAAAGAGTACATAAAGACAACTGAGAGGACAGTAAACTGTTTCCTGCAAAGCTTTAGTGAGATGGATGAGCATTCTTCTATTTAAAGAGATCCTTTTCCTGTGGAATTTGAATGATTAATTGTAATATAGGTGCTATTTCTAGTGGAGGAAAACCATGGGATTTTTATTTTTTCTATAATAATGGCAGTCACAAAAACAATTTGCCAAAGTATTTTTTTTCTCTTTACAATACTGAAGCTCCCTGTTATATTTTGTCTCAAATATAATTATTCTTGCAAATGTCCAGAAGCAGTGATACAAAGGAAAACTTATAGATTTGGATTTTAATGCTGCATGTGTTTTTATAGACTTTTGTGTTCCCACTAATGGCGCTGGAGGCTTAGAGGGCTCCAAGTGTTCTTCCAAGTATTTGCACAAAGTTGAAAATCTGGAGGTAGACTGCACATAGATTTGGTATTACAAACATAGTGGCATGTTCATCTTGAAGGCTAATTTTCCTTAGTGCTAGTACTTCAAATTGTCTTCTAAAATCCAGTCTGCTTTGAAGAAGTAATTCTGAGTATGTTTCTGAAAACTGACTTTTGCCTCAACATTTTGTATCTCAGGAGCTAGTTTAAATGGAGACTTCCATATGGAAAACCAATAGTATTTGTAGCCAGGTAGCTTGCTTTGTTGTTTTTGATAGCTAATAGAATGGGAACAAAGTGAATTATGTAATCTAAAATGTCATTTTCTTTAGGACTAGGGAGCCTAGCAAGAACTGTAAGTGCATTAGCAAGGAGAAGTAGTTTTTCCCACAGCCACTTAAAACCTTCATGCATCTATCTATGGTTGGAAGTGAAAAGGAATGTATTCCTCCACTTTGCAAGGAAATTAAAATATAAAAGCTGTTTCTTAATGACATGTGAAACCCAGCCAGAGCTTTCTGTGCCCACTTGGAATAGATTTCTCTTAACAGGGAAAATATAAGAATAAAAACGTTTAGAGCGGATGAGGGGAAAAAGAAGAATAAAAGGAGAGCTGTGATATCCTTGTGCACATCAGCTAGGGTATGCAGAGACAATCACTGGGTATGGGGACACCATTAAGAGCTGCTAGTATGTTTTCAACTGCTTCCTCTGTTATCACATAGGTGGCCTTGTCTGTTTTAATGCTGAGGTGAGGCGTTATAATGACGTTCTTTACTTTTAACAATGTATGATCTCTGGAAGAAAGTAAAAAAGAGATAGTTAAGTTACCTACTGTTGTTCATCCAAATAAAAAGGAGGACCCCTCTTTGGCTTTTGCACTGTATTTAAACACAAAGTTAATTTAATATAACTTTACAAGTCCCACTTACATCCACAGAACCTGATCACCTGTGTTCAAGTAATTTTGGACATTAAAAGGACATGTTAAGAGTTTATACCATGCTTTGTCCGGAAGCAGACTTTTGCCATTAGGCAGCAATTTGAACTACGTCAGAAGAGAGGATTAAGCCCTTCTGACACATTAACCCTACAAAATGGTCTGAGCTGTAGTTATGCGACTCAGATAATGGACAGTGATGTCCTGGCACACAGACATAACAAGACCAAACTCACCCTAACCCAAAATGCAGCCAGCACAGTTAACTCCATGAGGCACCATTCTGGTAGAGGTGTCCTTTTACAGAAGCTAAGTAGCCTCTGGGCCCAAGAGATCTGCAGTACTTCAGCCTTGTATTGGGGAAACAAGCCTGCTGGGAGGGAAACCTCGGGGCAATGCAGCAGGTCTAAGAAGGGGTGACTCAAGCAGCTTCCACCCATTCATGGCAAGTTGCACCTTCAGATAAAGCAATTTGTAAGTGAAGCACTGCTGCAGCTTCAAATGGTGATTCTGTGGAAGGGGTTTAATGCTCCCCACGGCACACAAGCCCCCTCCTGCTGCTTCCTGGCGCCCAGGTTTCCCTTTGGCTTGTTATCAGATGCAACATCTGGGCTGCATCCCATTCGTATTCATGGCACTTTTACACAAACCTCCACCCCAGGGGCAGGTGGGGCTGCTTCTGCCAGACCCCTGCCTGCTGCAGGGATGCCCCCTGCCTCCGGCAAGGCTCACGCGTCCTTTCTGAGAAATAAGGAGAGATGGCAACCTGGGCAGTGGTTCCGGGTAGGTGACATCCAAAGCTGCAGCCTGATGACACCAGTCTGCAGAGCTGTCACCAGGACTCTTGGTCAACTACTGCACCTGTTTTGCAACAAAAGTGTCTCTGAGTGCCATTTGCAGGTAATGATCTGAGAGTGAAAAGAGAACAGAAGGGGCGAGAGGGGAATTTTCGCCAGTAACACTGCAGAGTTTGGAAGCACCAGATGATGGTTTTGCTATTTAGAATAAGAACATGTTTCCTGTTCACCTCTGCCACTCTCCTTGGAAAGAAAAGTTCAACTTCTTTAAAAATCACTACTTGGTAATTTCCATAATTATCTGTTAAAACTGCAAAATTTTGGAAAGTTCTACAACACAGAAAATAAACTTATATGCACAGAAACACCACCTGAATGTGATTAGATTCTGCTCAAGTATTTTCAACCCAGGCTGGTGACCTGTGAATAATAAACTCATATGATTTTATTTATACCTGGTTGAAATATATATTATGTATGTTTGTGTATAGTGTAATAATTTAGATATATTTATGATATATGAAATATATGAAAATACCAATTATTCTATTTGCCAACACAACGTATCTAGATTTTCACATTTTATGTGAAACTATGTGCACTACAGGTAACTCCAGGAAAAGCCAAGTTAATGGTAGGTAAATCTTGCATGATTTTTAGAAGCCACAAAAGAATTGAGATATAACCTTCCACTAGTCTTCTACCAGATGCCAGCAGCAAAACCATCCCAGTATCTGCTGTACTGCTAGAAACAGCACGTGGAGCATTAGTCATCTTCACACCAAAACTAGCTACAGGTTTCAGGTCCAGGTGATCTGTCCCTACTCCTGAATTTGCAATCACTTTCCAAGTTTGGCAGGCTCTGAAGGCGCTCTTGGTCAATGACTGATTTGTGATACCACAGATAAACCATTTGGACCTTTTTTAATCATATGCTTTCTGTTTTCATGGTGATGAGGTACAAATGTTTCTTCAGGAATACCATGTGGCCATGCAGTATCCCACGTATGCCACCGATTTCATTTACCAAAAGCCCAGGTAGCTCTCCTCCTCCCATGATCTGCGCAAAGAAGAAAGATACAAAGCGTCAGAAGACACACACATAATTATTTCCAGACATTTTAAAGAATAATCACTTTCATGTCCTATTTAATGACATCTATGACAAGAGATCTTATAAACCACATATTTAGATAGGGAGGTAAACAAACCAAGACAAGAAAGCAGCTCTTTTAAGTATACTACCAACTATACACACACATGCACGCACGCACACACACAGAAGTATTCACATCATCAAGCCTGAACAAGGTCTGTCCCTCATGGTCTGTAAGGTTTCATATCACTGCCACCAAGGTCATAACGCATAATTATTTCTCATTAATTACTTAGTTTCAGACCATCAGTAGTCTGATAATAATATCTTAGTAAATATCTCAAACAATAAATCTCTGTCCCTACCCTGAAATCACAAATTACCATGTCTAAGTAGTTTAGAAAAATGTTGGACCAAATGTAGTTCATGAAAATAAATTGCACAGCTTCAACATGAACTTTGAGTTACCAGGTTAATTTTTAAATGCCTCATTGCAGAGATTTTTGCAGCCTCCTGTCTTGAAGAGACACCAGTGACTTCTTAACTGCAGTGCCTTCTCCTGAGGCTATTATAAGTTAACAAAATAATAGATGCTTGGGCAAGTGTTTTCCAAGAAGGACTTATGCATTCAAATTAAAGCATGTGGGTTTTTTGCAGGAATCACTGACCATCTGTTTGTGGTTCCTGGAGGGTCTGTGAATTGACAGTGCTTTTTTTTTTCTTTAATAGACTATTTACAGCTACCATTGATTTTCCGTAGGAATTTTGCGAAGAGCTGCGGGGAGAGCAGTTTGAGGACTGAAGATCCTGGAATCCCCTATAGCAATACTTGCTGTTGTCTTGTTAGTCATATTTCACTATTAACATCTGAATGTCTAACTCTTGGTCTGTCTACACTACCTGTGCTAAAACTTCATTTTACCATCCCTTCAAGAAGCCTGACCATATTGCACAATAATGGAAAGGCTTCCAGATTTTATGGAGGTGACAAACCTTTTACTAAATTTTCTGACTTTGTTGCATGCTCATAGGAAAGAGAATGTAAGAAAAAGCTTGGCCCTGGGCTGGAAGTTAGGACTGATCACTAATTTTGCTTTAGGCTGTGCCTTCACCCACGTGATTTCAGTGGAAGACCTACCATTGTTTCATGGCCAGTCAAGATAAAAGCATCATTTTTGTCTGCATGGTGGAACTAAATCTCTTGCAGTTTACTTGGTTTTCAAAGGATCCCCTCAGGAAAATCAAAGATACTTTTTCAGTGATTTGCTTTGCTTTGCTTTAACATGTAGATGAAGCAGAGCTCTTCTTACATTACAAAACCTTAGGCCTACGATCATTTCAAAGGAGTCTGCTTTCTTCAGTGTTTTGATATAAAAACAGAATATTGCAATATTGGCTGAAAAGTGTTTCAGGATACAGTCAAATTTCTGCAGGGAATTAATGCTCAATTCACCTTTCATATATTTGAGAGTGTTACACAATCTGCTTGGTATACTTGCTTATCATTATGTAGCAGCAAGTACTGGAAACAGAACACAGGTATTCATTGAAATAATGGACTGAAGATACCAAAGTGCATAACTGCTCAGTTTAAAATCTTCAAACAAATGCCTTTTATTAGTTCCACTTTATTTTTCAGAATTGTAAATAAGTACAGATCAAGTCTAGTGAGATAACAGCTTTGCAGTATCATGACAACAAGAGTAGTGCAGGAACAGGTTGGTTTTTTTTTAAAGTGGTACTGTAAGAAATAGTGCCTTCCCATACATATGAGATTTAGTGATATCATCTGGCACACATCATTTGGGAAACACTTCACTGGGAATGGGTTGGCCATTGAGAACAGCCAGCATATTTGCTATTGCTTCTTCTGCCATCATACGGCTAGCTCGGACTGTTGCAGTTCCAATGTGAGGGGTTATGATGATGTTATTTAATTTTAATAAAGGATGATCTCTGTAAGAAACAGAAAAAACAGAATGTATTACACAGGGAATTTACTCTGCAGCTACCCCATGCTAGTTATTAAGAACTGAACCTCAGGAAACAGCAATGGCATGTTGAGATAAAAGGGCCACAAGCACAGAACCAGCAGAAAGCTGTGGGAAGTTTGCTTACCCGTTTCTTCTTCCTCTCTATTGGCCTTATTGCCTTGCTTGCCAGTTAGGCTGGCAAAGAACTGACAGACGTGGGAAAGGCGAACAGTTTGTCATTTGTTTATGATTGTGTGAGACAGGCTGAGGTTTTGCCCTTAAACAGTGAGAAAGACTCCCCATGGAGATCAAGATTATGAGCGCACTTTTGAACACAGTTTAAAACATTTCAGATTACTAGAATGGAAAACAGGTTTCTGTACCTTGGTAGAGGCTCAGGGTATGTCACGTCCAGAGCGGCAGCCCTAATAACCTTATTCTGGAGAGCTTCTACCAATGCATCCTGATCAATAACTGCACCTGCATTGAAATGAAATCTTGCTATCGTGACATGTTATTGAACACATTTTTACCTGGGAGTGGGGAAAGGTCTCAAGGGGCTAGTGAGAAAAATTACAGGATCTTCATCTTGTTAGAAAGTAGAATGTCTTTCTAAAAACCATTAACCAATCAAAACAGAGATTTTATTTATTAATCTTTAATTAGAGAAGGATTATGGTCCACTGCATAAGGCTTTTCCTGGGACATGACCAGTTTTAGTCTTTTCCTCATTTTGACACTGACTTCCTGTATTATTATAGACAAATCATTTAATCTCTTCAATCTTTCCACTCTTTTATCTCTGATTTGTTTACTGAAACTATAATCTCTCTCTTACATGCTTGTTCAGTGCCAACAGATCTGTAATCCCATGTGAGGTTTCTTTTCTATGCAGCTGTTCCAAATGAAACTTATGTTTTTCCTTGTACCTTGTATCATCATTGGTGATGATAAACCTTTCAGTTATTTCCACTAACTAACTGTGGAGCCACAAACAGTGCTTTTAGACCATCCTACCTCTGCTGATGTTTATAAGAGTAGCTGTGGGTTTCATCAGCCCCAGTTCCTTTTTCCCAATCAGTCTGTGAGTCTCAGGAGTCAGGTTCACAACCAACATAACAAAGTCAGATTGCTGCAGCAAGTCTTCCATCTTCTCACAGTAGTGGGCACCAACTGCCTCTTCCTCCTCCTTTCTTCTGAAGGAAAAATGCACACCCCCCAAATTGACACAACTATTTCTAACTGGCTTTAACAATCAATCAACCCTAGGAGGGATCTGGAACAGCACAGAGATTGAGAAGTTTGAGGACAAGGTAAAGGAAAAGACATTGATAGGTACGGATGGTGGAGGGGAGGAGGGAAGGATGTGGGCTAGAGGGAGCAAGAGGCTACAGGAGTGTCGGGACACTGAAGGAGTGATGTATATGTGAAAGCGAAGCACATAGGTGATATTAGGTATAGGAGGTTGGGGATGCAGTCAGACCCCATTCTTCTCTCCTGCGTCTATGCCAATCCCTGTAGAGTCTCTCCTTGCCTGACATGTGAGTTAGGACTTGGGGTGGAAAAGGAATGAAGGGGAAGTCTGAAAGAAAGGGAACTATAAAACTAAGAGAAGTAAAGACCCTTGTCATTGGTGCCAGTGTGATGAATGATCTGGCTGGGCTGAGGAGAGTGGTGACTGGCTGGGTGGGCCAGGGATGCTGCCAGAAGCCTGAAGAACAGTCTGGCAAACAGGGGACACAAGGAGGGCACAAGGCCTCGTTTGCTTGGACAACATCTTCAGAAAGGTTACACGGCCCTTGTTCCAAACTGCTAGTAGCTAACCAGGACAGAGTGAGTGCAGGAGGTGAGGGGGAGCTGCTTCCCGAGGGGAGTAGTAGGGAGCCAAAGCAAGGAAGTGGCTTTGTAACTTCTGCTGCTTGTAACTGCCACAAGTGCCTAGCATTGTGCAATTTGGTATACTACTTACATAGAAATTTTTTAGCATAACTTGCCTAGCATTAGTAGCTAAATTTGCTGAAGCCTTAGGCTGCAAGCTGTGAACTCTCACCTAGATATACTGAATTTTTACCTAGTCAAGTAAAAGAAGGCCCCAGAGCTGGTTCAAGCCAGAAGATAAGGAAGCTACATTCATTAACAGAAGCTGCAACCTTAGAGATAAGAAACGGCCCATCTAGAGACAATGAAAGGACCCAGTGAAGAACAGGAAGACCCCAGACCGTAATATTACTACTGGCCCAAACTGTCGCATGAGGGGTGGGGAAATTAGATTGTAAAGGTATAATTGCCCAGGGATTTCTTTGTTCAAGGTCCCTCTTTGCAGGCACCCAGCTTGAGTGTAGTGCTATGAATAAAAAGCACTTTATAGAAGAATCTCTTTTCAGCTTGTCGATTCAACAGAAACCTAGCATCAAACCCTGTTATGGTGGCTGGTGTGCGTAATTTCCATAACACTAGGAAGATAAGGGACACAGCAGAGCTGTGGTTTCCATCACTGCCCCCTAAACAATTGCATGCAGATACCAGATGTTCTTACCTCCGGTTCCTGTTATGGTACAGGATCCTCATGTCGAAGGCTCTGGCTCTCTGAGCCACTTTGTAGCCAATGCTGCCCATCCCGATGATCCCAAGTGTCGCTCTGGTTACTTCCACTCCCAGCCAGTCAACAGCAAAATACTTCGTGTCTGGAGAAACCGCAATCTGGCAGCCTGAATGTAAATATATGCTAAATGGGTACAAACCAACTATAAACGTAGTTTGGGGGGATAGAAAAAGTTTCTCACCATCACAGCAGTGGGGCTCTGCAGCACCCTTTACAAAACATCCTTGCTAATTTTGACCAGTTTGTAGAAGGGCCTGGATGGTGCCGTTCCCTGCAACAGCCAGGGCTGGAGTCAGTAACATGGGGGGCTTCCAGGCACGTACTGTGCTGGGAGGAATGGCTCCTCAGGGAAGTAACTCTTCCATGGCTGGAGTATTTTCTTGGAAGTTCAAAAATAGCTTCTTTGACACTTACCACCCCGCAAGCATTGACTTCACTTCTTTTCAGCTGGGGTAAATCTCACCATTTGTCTCCTGGATCACAACCCAAAGCAGCCCCACTGCTTGAGTCAGGGTGAAGACTGCAAATTCCAGCTCAGCCAGGGATCTCTATGAGCTTTTATACAAAGAACTTGAGGTCCAGCAAGATGCAAAGTGAGAAAACATCATGGGGAAAGAGGTGTTATTTCATGCTCAGAGGTGGAGCAGCGGTGACAGAAACACTATGAGTCGCTGAAGACAGAGGCCACTTCTTGTGATAGTCTCTACTGACACCTTCCTTCCCCTGAAAGGCATTGCGTACCAAGGGCATGAGGGGAAAGGACCTACCTTTAAGGACACAGACTAATGTTAGTGGTACAGTTTGGAATAACTTTGTCAAAAGGATTATCAGCTCTTTCAATAATAATGCTGATGCTCTTCTGGAAATACAACATATTGGTTTAGACAAACTCTGCAGAAGCAGGAAAAAAATGAAGAGTTATACTAATTACTGCTCTAGAGATGGGGACATCGCCACTAATGCTTTGTACTTTCCTGTAGCTCCTAACACTTGTTCCAAGGGGAAATGGAGAAGTGGTGACATTTGATTTGGGTGCATTTTGTATTCAGTTTTCACAGCTATAAACAGCCCACCCAGTGAACAGCCAGAGGAGAATTAAGCCCCAGACATTATTCCAAACAGGACATCACAAGTGACTTTAAGCGCATAATTGAGACAAAGGCCTTATTCTTGTCAACATTGCCTTAAAAAGAAGCAGTACATAGGAAAAGCAGAGTCCTCAGAATGAAAATGGAGTCCTCAGAAATTTATTTTCCCTGTAAAAGTATCCCAAATACTGATTTGGACAGATCACCTGTATCATAATAAAAGTGAGATATAGCAAAGAAGTAGCTAAGATCCAGGAAAATTTAAAACATTACCTTCCACTAGTCTTCTGGCAGAGGCCAGCATCAAGGCTATTCCTATGTCTGCTGTTGGGTCCGCCACGGCATGTGGAGTGTTGGTCACTTTTACGCCAAAGTTAGAAATCATTTTCAAGTCTAAGTGATCTACTCCAACCCCAAAGTTTCCAATTACCTTTAAATTAGGCAGGCTTTCTAGAAGCTCCTGGTCAATATTTGGCCTGCACTCAAGCACGAAAACAGATTGGATTTTTTTGCTCATTTCTTTTTTGTTTTCAAGAAATTCCTTCATGGTGATAAGGCGGAAGTGTTCCTTCAAAAGTGCTGCAAGGTTTTCTAGCACACCATGAGTTCCTCCTACATCCAGAACCAAAACGCCTGGCAACTCTTCTTCTGCCATGACCTGCAACAGGGAAATAGAAGAAATACTCCTTTGTTTAGGAGAACACCCTTAAAGGAGTGATGCTGTAGTGATCAGCTAGTGATCAGGAAACTGATGGAACTCAATACTGCTTTTAATGATACAGAATAAATCAACCCACAGTCACTTGGTACTGGTGTGGTACATTAGACAGCTTCCCAGTATTTTCACTAAGTGCTGATTTAGACTATAACACCAAGGAATATCCACCCCCTTAGATCTAAACCCAGTCCTACAAGGTGTTCTTCTCAAATAGTTTCATTTTAGCCCTGAATCAATATTGATTTCACACAAATCTGGTAGCTTCTCAACCTTATTCACAAATTCATTTCTATAAGCAGTGGTGTGAAAGAGAGGCTGCTAGAAAGTTAATCAAAGTTTCTTGCCTGTTGATTATGGTTGGTGAAGCCGCAGGTAGTGTCGGGAGGCACTGAGGCTCAGATGGGTCTGACAAACATCTGTCAGGAATGGTTTAGGTCTAACAAATTTGCATGACGAAGGGCTGTCCTTGGACAGCTGCTACACCACTTGTCTTCAGTGTTTTAAACATCCAGATCTGTACTTGAACTTACCTCCCACAAAATTTAGCACGCCCACGCCTATATGCTGAACCAGCGGGGAAGAGCACTAGAGGTGATACTGTATGTCCCACTGACACCACAGTCCTTTATACTAGAACTTTTCCCCTGCCCAGACAGTTTTGAGCCCAGTCCTCTCTGCAACACCCATGCAAATGTACTGTATCCTGCAATAATAGAGGGGCTCCACAGACAGCCACACACCTAATTAAAGGCAGCCCTTATTGACAAAAATGGCAGCTGAAGATTTGCTGCATGTCTTAACAACATTCATGTCTAATTTCCTACAGTCCTGTTTGCTGCGCTCTACTCGCTTTAGGTCTCTATCCTATACTGTGTCCTAGACCTGGGTCCAGGAAACCTGACATTGTGCTAACTGAATCAGAACAATTTTCCACAGCAGTATGCTGATTTATTCTGGGCACACAGTGCTGGGTAGAGATTTCCTGCTGCTTCAGTCCTCTCAAACAAGCTTCCAGTGACTAACCAGAATTCAAACCTGTGACAAAAGGGCATCAATGCAGACTGGAAGTTTCCATCAAACCGTATTTACCCTTCTCCTGAGCAAACTCAGGTTTACCCTAACTATATGCTTACAATCTCGACACCAGTAATATGTCTTTATCCTGGCCCTGACCTGCATTTCTGCCTTAGCTCCAGTCTGCTGCTGTAGAAGGGGCCTCCCTGTTGCGACAGGTCTGCAGTTCACCACGAAAAGTGTCTCTGACAACGCTAACTGGTTCTGAACAGCAGCAAATAAAGCAATGAGATGAATAGTGCAACCATATTGCAAAGGAATACCGCGTTCTTAAATATATTTAATCTATTTCTTGCCAACTGAAGTATTTTGAACTCTGCCAGCCCTGTATGGTTGTGAAAATTGTGCAAATTTCCCCAGCTGTAGTCTGTATATTTCCTAGAGTATCACACAACATGACCTTAGAAGGATAAACTAGATTCGCCCTCCAGAACGAATGATGCATAGAATAAAAGACAAGATTTGATGTCATATTGTGACAGTGTTGTCCAGCTTCTTGATGATCAGAACCTGCTGCTCCTGCAGCAACTTACTCAGACAGGATGGCAACTAAACCTTATGCTGTTAAGTGACGGGAAACTGGGCACCAGATATGATCACCTGACTGGCAAATGCCAGTAAGGCAACACTGTATTACACCATTTGCTTTCATCACCACTTCCTCCTCCATTACAATACACCACTCACGAAGGTCAGAGGCAGACCCACGTTCATTTTAGAAGCACTTGCTGAACTTCACAAGCAGAATGGTGATCCATGAGGAAGGCACAGTGCACTGCAGAGAGAGCTGGTTTAGCTTTAAACAAACCAGCCGATGCACTAGGAACAGGCTAGTCGCATGTAATTAATCTTTTCATTAGCATGGATGTGCTGAGTCTGCCACAATTTCAGCCACGTTTGATGCGCATGTGAACCATTCATAGACTGCAGCTTTGGTTCAAGAACTGGGGCTCTGCTAGTATCACGAACCATCTTTAAAAAATTATATGGATAGCAGTAGACTAAAAACACTTAAAGGAACCTTGCAGACGGGAGGGGGCCATCCAGATACCAACCTTGGTCTGAGGAGCACTTATTGTTCGTCCTCCAGCACTACTTGGGCACGTCTTGTACCTCTGTCTGTAATCCACACTTCCCCTGTGACAGCGATGTCCATGAGAAGCAATAGCTGGATGAATAAATTTATAAGCCAAATTGGGCTGGCCAGACATCAAGGAAATAGGTTTTAACAGACTGAATGCTTTGCTCCTGAACATAATTATTCAGATATCGGATGTCTTGTCCAAGTGTGCTAAATGTAACACCTGTTAAGGATATGACAATTCTGGTTTTGGACTAGTGTCATCTGCACTATCACTAACTGTCTTTTTATTTTTTGTAAAGCTGTCTCTCCTCACGTTTTCTATTTACATAAGATGATTCCATGTATGCATGCATATATAATCAAATATAACTGATAACAATATATGTGTACTGATAAGTTCCAGTCCCCGCATTGCAGAGAAAACTGTGAAAATATGATTCAGATTCAGACAAGTGGGCATATAAACAGATACCACGTGTAAGCATTAACTTCAGTGTCACTATTTTTCTAAGCTGGCCTTATTTCTTTGATGGAGCTTGACTCACTGTCTTGGTTTCGGCTGGGACAGAGTTAATTTTCTTCCTAG